CTTTGTAAACAGAAATTGGAAAATGCTTATGTCAAGACTTCCAGCACCTCAACACCGTGCTAGTCTGCTTCACAAACTGATCAGACAGTGAAAGCAACAAGTGGAAAAAGAAAAATAAACAGTATCTGTGGCTAGCTAAGCTGTGTGTTTAGCTGTAAAATTTGTGAATTAATCTGAGACGGGAAACGATACGGTATCATCGCTGCATAAAGTATGATCGCTCTTGCATTAGATTTTAGCTCTTCCGACAAACTTGGATTCCTGGAATTTTCTTCGACCAACAGCTTCATCACTGCTAAGCATATGTCTGGTAACACTAATCGAACCTATAAATAGAAGAATGCAGTCTTTGCTATATTCAGAACCAACTAGTCAACAAAAAAACGTAAATTTTTAAGTGGCTGTCGTTGCTCTATAAGTTTTTTTATCTTTAAATTCCTTATATCTGAAATTAAAAACTTCAAAATTCCGTTTACTTCTGAAACCTTTTAGTTTAAAATGTTAGAAAAATTTCCTTTTTCAGAGAAAATTCTGTAAGTATTAACCGAATGTAAGCAACACTTTATCCTGTAACTCCTGAGATTTAAACCAATCACTTTCGTCCTTTTGAGAATAATGAGCTTCTAAGATGAGAAAAAGCACATTATAAATGCATAACATACAATCCTAGGAAGTTTTGAGCATGAGAAATGTTGCTTCGTCGCAAAAGTTTTCTATTCTGCTATCGTGAGCAGAAATGAGTTTTAAAAAAGGTTTACTAGTTTTCAAGATGTTTCGAGGCCCCTTTGCCCTTGACGTGTAGATGAGGGTCAAGTAAACGCTGAATCTGTTGTATAAAGTAGGCAGATAGCACTTCAGCGGGAGAAAACAGCTTACACATTACTCCCTCCTACAGCGATACTCCTCACCCTTTCATGCAACATTCGTTTTTCGAGTGGTTTATAAACGGAAATGGAAAAAAATATGTCACAAAACTTTTGACTGAAAAAGAGTAGCTTTCCAGCAAACGTGCTCTAGCACTTGCTCCATCATCAAAAAATTACTGAAATAATTATATCAAACGTCTTGCGAAGTGACAGTAGGATGTTCCATTATAAACTGTGGCAATCGTGTCAAACAGTCACAGAAGAACTGTGACACGGTCAGTAACAGAAACTGCTGTAAAAACTGAACATGTTCTAACGAACACTGATAAAAAAGGATAATTCTTCACCACCCTAACAGTAAATCAAGTATTTAATAAGTTAGAGCTGAGGAAATCGCTCAAGTCCAGAAAGTTCTACAAAAACCAAGCAATTTCTCCCATACTACTCTGTAAAGTTACCACTTATCCAATAACTGCCTGAAATATTCCTCAGCGAAACCTAAGTTCTATAATGCATGACCCTGAAGCCAAATTAAGAACGACGACAAGTGATGAAAAAGAGTGACCATACTCTATGTCAGAAGTGTGTTTTTAATAGAATATGATTTCTTAAACTTCATAATGATAAATAGACAAAATTTTTTCTGGAATTCACAGTGAATGTTCTATGATTCGTAAATTTTAGCTACAACAAAACTCCTCACAAACGCTCTATAACAGCTAAATAATTTTTTGGAAAAAAGTGTATTCGTTTAGGTAAAGGACCATAGTACTTTCCAACCCTTCTTCCAATGACGAATGCCTCTATTTTCTACGCTTGGTTTCCCATAACTACCTGATATAAAGGTGAAACACATTAAAACTAAAACAGATTTCCACTAAATTCAACAATTCAAGTAGTAATTTTTTCTCTCAAAAAGTACTACCAAAGTGTAATTTGAGAAGTAAGTTTCACAAACACCTAGGTAAGAAAAGTGAAATTAAATATGATATTTCTGTAATATAAAAAGGGAAAAAACTCAAGTACTTTTAAGATATTTGAAACACTATTAGAAAAACTGTACCTTTCAGTTAAAACAGTTTGAGATTAGATAATTATATCTACATGAAAGAAGTATCAAAACTAGCTCACTTGGTCAGCAAGCATATGAAACACAGAAACGTAAGATTGGACATCATCAGGATGCAAAGGAATGCATTTCAGTTTCGATAAAATCGACTTACATGACGAAAACCTATAAGTCCAGTTTGTTAAAGATCCTGCTTTTCAAAAATACTATTAATACGTGAATCAAAATAAAAAAGCGAAAATAAAAAAAAATGACTGCAAATTAATCAGTCTTCCCCTAAAAGTAAATTGTATCACTTACTTCCCCTCGTTGAAATTCAGCATGAAGGTAGAAAAATCAATCAAAAGAAACAAAGTGGCAAGCATCTCCGGCAAACAGTTTTCAGCACTGTTCCGATATAAATTAGCTATCCAAATTGCCAATTTTCGAGCTTCGTAGCTCCCGTCAGAACTCGTCATTTCTTTTGCCAAATGATTGCACATTAGGCGTAAACAGTCCTCTCTATCCTGCAGAATTTTTGCAAAAAAATCAAAAATATTTAATAGTTCTAATACTTTAGAAACAAATAAAGATCAAGCAGTCAAGACCCACTTACATCAGCAGCATAAAAAAGTAAGATAGCTTGCTTAATATCGCCACCAACTTCTGTGTCGCAAGCAACTTTTGCTATTGCATCTTGGACAGAAATATAGGCCGAATATTTATCGATAACTCCTTCGGACCGAATACCTTTCTCATCAACCGTGCCAAGCAGCCGCTCCGTCTCACCACTCAGATAAACAGCACGAGATATACAAGCATAAAACAGATTTCCCCCTACAACCGATCAAAAATTCCAGCATTTTCAAACAATTGGCCAGTCCTTGCATCAAAATTTTATTTAAACACTTCAGATGACCTGCTGGAGATTCCATTTTATTAAGGAAGAAGAAATAGTCCAGTGCACGTGTCACATCAGTACACTCAAAAGGCTTGACAAACAAAAGGACCAGTCGGGCAAAATTTAAAGAGGACTGCAGAACGTCATCCGCGAGAGTAGATACTAAATTACTGTTTAATTTTGCAAGCAGCCTCAACCATTATATCATTAAAAAAAAGAGAAGAGAAAAATAAACCAAAGTAAAAATTTAATCAAATAATACTTGAAAACATACAAATAGGGAGGCCAATGTCGTCGGTAACAAGAAGAAATCCATTGAGGTAAGCGAGGATAGCAAGATGAACAGCATGCAGAAGATAATCAGCTCTAAAAGACTAAGTAGAAGCGAGAAAAAAAAAGAATAGAGAACTGCGGCAGAGTCACGCTAGCACCAGTAAGTCATTTGTATACTTGGTCACTTACTAACCATACCACTCAACCGTCTGACGCTAAATAAAAAAATTGAAGACCAAAAAATAGGAAGTCTCTGAAGGAAAATTAGAATGGAATGACTGACCGATAAAGCACATCAATGGCTCTCTCTAATTGTCCTGTTAACCATAAAGCTTGGAAGAAGAGGACAGAACTACCTCCTTCACCAACAAAATAATCTTCTCCTAGAAAAGCCTCCACCATAAGCAGCAAGAAGTGAAGAAAAAACCTTTGAGTCTAGTAGCAGAAGATACGATAAAGTTTGCTTCTTTTTTCATTAAAAAGAGAAAAGCAAAAAAATATACCGTAATCGTAAGATATAAGACGTCTTAGCTCAGAAAAAACAGAGCCAGATATGACTTCCTCAACATACATGGGGGTCAGTTTTAACCATAGCCAACTTTCCAAATTGTCACATACGTCTGGTGCATCTTCGCCAAGTAGAGAACAATATACTGCTTTTTTGTGCAGGTCTGTACAAGTCCTCTTTTCGCTTTTCCATTCTGCTGCTAACTTTTGACGGGTCTCTCCTGACAACCTAAAAAATTACAACTCACTTTAAATAACAGCAAAACCTTGCCTATATAGACTAACAGAAGTCGGTTCTTCGTAACAAACACGATAACTGGTTAAAAGGAAGAAATACATGACACTCAAGAGTCTACTTGTTCGATGGTGGCAGAGAATCTAGTGCTACCGCCATAGCAGCACACGAAGGTAAGTTTTTCAAATTTGTTGAAGCGACTGACGCAGCTGCTGAAAAATCACCAGCTCGAAGACAGTAGTAAACCACTTCCCAAACAGGATGGGCATTTTGACCGTATATTCCATCCTGTAATCAACTACCAGTTTACTTTTAACTCGCAATTAAAAATATAATTTTTGCACCGTGAAAAATTTTAATGAAAATATAAGGAACGGAGACAATAACTTTACCGCCATTATTAGAAATAAAATGTAACCTGGGTATTCTGGGGCGATGTATGAACATGTTTTACATTCAGATAAGCGTCAACTAGCGAAAGAGTGCTTGGAACACCGCCACGACGTGCTAAAGCCATATTTCTCTCAACCACAAGCTTCATATGAGATACAAAACTGAAGAAAAAGAGGAGTTTACCACAGGTATACGTATTCACGTTCAGAAGAAATCATAAAGCTTACTGTCTATTTAAATACTGCACAGCAGCATCGACAACATGTTTGTGGAACTGAGGGCTTGAACGAAAGTCCTTCGTATTTCCTTGAATTGCCACGTTACTCGCAACTAACGCAAGTCCTTGTTCCCATATGGAAGTTATATCTTCATCTCTTTCCATTACTGCTGAATCCTTGAACTTTGACGCCAAACGGCTGATATTACCATTTACAACATAGTCGGAAACCTAAAAAAACAAAATCAATAGAAAATATGATAATAAGGAAGAAATCTTCACTGTAGCCCCTGACTAGCAAGTCTTATTTTAAAAAATAATCAATTTCAAAGCAATGCATACAGCATCCGCGAAACCAAGTTCCGCAGTAGACGGCGACGTGGCTATTCTTTTATTCATCGCAGACTGCTCCTGAAGTTCAATCAAACATTCTATACTTGAAACAAGAAATTCATTTTAAAAAGCGATTAAACTAAGAAACCAAAAAAGAAAAAGAACGGGTACATTGGAATCATCTCCTTTCCCATTCAAGAGACGTGACCTCGACTTGATATTGAGATGAGCAGTATCGATAACACGTTGGTTTAGAAAGGCTCTTTCAGCCTCAACTGCAGCGCGCTCTGATGCAACATCCATAGCGTCTTCAATGATTTGGTTACTATGAACACTAACTAAATTCTGCTCCTCACTATACAAATCACCAGAAACACTTTTTGCCGAGCAGCAAGCAGGTAAGGCTCCCAATGAAAAGCCACGCTCATTAAGTAACAGACTTGCCTAAAAACAATCTGTTCTCGAAGAGTAATAAAAAAAGACAAGAAACAAATAAAACCTTACACAATAAGTAGTGACAAAGATTTTTTTCCTCAAAAACCAAATTTTTATGAAAAAAGCCTAACACAATGTTTGCAAGTATGTAGCAAAAAAAAAGTAAGAGAAGTCTAAGAGTTAAACCCGTGACCCCATGAATCAAAAAATGAGTGGATTTTTCTCTACCATCTTTACCAAACTCTTGCCATCGGAACATCAAAAAGTATCAATAATCCGATTTGAAAAAGCTCTAAGTTTTCTTTATATTAATTCACGTTTAAGTTTGATAATCTTCAGAACTATTTAGTAGACATGAAAAAGATGTTCATACTATACATATAAATAACTTCGATATTGAAGTGCTAAAGAAAAAACTTGATTTTTAACCAAAAAAATAGCTTCTAAAACAGCAAATACCTGTAATTCAGCATTTTGCTTGTCAGTACCCTTTCTTTTCTGCCAAAGTTTTTCGCTACACCGAAATACGTCGTCTAGAGCTGCATCAATAATAGGATTTGGATCTGGAATCTAAAATCTACCTTCATTTGCAAATAACTGAATAAATTTTTTCTGTTTTCTGATCCACAAGTAGCCCAGCCACCGTGAACATTCATTCTAGATGTTTTAACGTTGAAGCAAAAATTTTTAGAAAGCTTAAATGATTGGTCATATTTAAAACAAAAAGGATTTCTTCCCTTACATCTTTTGTTTTTGACGACAATACTGTCGATGACAGTTTATCAGCTCGATGTAAAATATCATCAAATGAAATTGACATCGTTTCACCTGTAAAAATAAACACGTTTAATATTTCTGTAGAAACAATATACACTTTGAATACATTAACAAAGCACGATATGCGATAAAAATATTAAAAAAAATTTTTTTTCTCAATTTTCAGATAATAAAAAAGAAAGTTTTAAAAAATTAATCCTTGAACTTTAAACAGTTATTAGATCATGATTTTTTGACCAAAAATTTTCATATAAAGTTTCCAAAACAACAACTTCAAGAACAAAGGTTATGGTGAACGTTCTTAATTTCAGTGACAGGTGATAAAAGTCACCAAATGAACATTTCAAAAATTAATTTCCAATTAGATATAATTATCAAAAGAACTGAAGTCAAAAAAAAAAAAAAAACAACTTCATTGTAACTCGGTATTTCTTAACGTAGTACTCTTACGTTTTTTTAGATGAAATAACACAACAAGTAACGAATAAATTTAAATTTACCGCTTTCAACAGTGTTATCGTTGGCCTTTGTCGAACGAATATAATATTCGTCGCCGATTACGGAGATCAAATTTAGCGTATCGTTACCACCAGCCGAGGGAATTAAATATATCGGCAAAAACAGCTTTATATCGCCAGTCGTCACTGTCACTGTCACTGTTTTGCTTCCGATCGTTGCTTTAATTGTTTTCTCAGTCGTTTATCACATCACATTATCTAGATTTATCCCATTTTTTTCCCTTTCTTTTTTTTTTCTTTTACATTTGTTCATAAATCTGAAAAGCAAAACAAAGCGAAGTTTCTATGATCTGTTTTTCCAAAAACTTCACAATAAATACAGGAATAATGAAGCCAAAAATTCATTTTGTTATATGCATTTGTGCCTTTTTCTTTACCGGACTCTTTCTATTACTCTCCTTTTCTTTCCTTCCTTCCTCTTCTTTTTTTTTCCTTTTGTACTGTTTTTTGCAGAATATCATCCACTTAGAATGGTTCAGTAATTTTGCAATACACCTACAAATAAATATATGTGTATTTTTTGATATTTTTAAACGATGATAACTTTTTGTAACAGTAGTATTTTATTTTATTTTATTTTATTTTATTTTATTTTATTTTATTTATTTATTTTTTTTTTCTGGCAACCAACGGATTTGGTAGAGTAAAATTGTAGTATTTGGAACTGGCATTTGTCCGGTGAATACCGTTGCCAGCTAATAAGGTTTCCAGAATATTCAAGTTTTTTCCTTGTATAAACACATAGATATGTTTATATACTTATTTACTTATATGCATGCATTATGTTATTTTGTCGACGGTTGTCATCACCTATGTAGATGATTTATGAAATAATCATCTGTCTTGAGCAGATTATTCGAAGAAGTCCTTAATTAACGCAATATTTAATTACTATGGTTTAAATGCTGGTATCTGTCTTTATATTTGTATATATATATATATATATATATATATATATA